CATATAAATTAAAAAGAAATTTACCATTATTTCTTGTCACGTAAAATTATAATACCATGTATTATGACTGAGTTGTCTTTTTAAAAAGTTGACATTTTAGAAAAAAAAGCAGCGAAAATTTATTTTTCTTTTCTAATACAATAAACAAATTCAACAAAAATCCCTATATATGATGGCTAATATTTTGTGTAAATATGGTTTAAATAAAGTTCTCAATGCAATTATATTTGGTTCCATGTAATATTCGTATTAAAAACTTTTAATTTTGATTACTGGGATAAAGCTTTATATTTTGTGAAGCATGTAAATATATGAAATAAATAAAAATGTTATAGAAGTTTCATGTAAATACGTACATATTGATTACCCATAATTGGCCAATCCATTAAGCATCGAAAATATTTTTTATGCTTGCAAATTCAGATCAATATTTTAACAAAAGGTCACAGCTATGTTTTGTGAAAATTTTGTTCGAGACTTCTCAGCTTGGATTTATCCTTCATGTGCTCGCAGCTAGGACACTTTACAATATATTCAGCGTGCACCTGCAGTTCAATAAGTTGTCTAAAAACACATGCAAACGTTCAGGGGTGCTGGGAAATCATGATTTTCTCAGGCAATGACCAGTTTGGCCAAATCTTGAACTAGACTTATACTGTGGACTCATTCGTGTCATGATAAATTAGATAATTATCAATTTTGTGTAGCTGATTTCCTAAAGGCCAAGAAACAATCAAATTTTTACTAAAAATATGGGCATGTAGTATCGCTTTTAAAGGAGATAGAAAAAAGGAAAAATTGTCAAAATCCTATTCCTTGGGTAGGGGGTGTCTTCCAACTTACGATCACATTTCGATTTTTATTAATATATAACCAAATTTTGATATCGTAATTTACCATAATTTTAATAAGCTACGGCAAAATGAAGAGTAGGCTCTAGTTAACGATAGACCATCCATTTTGTTTTTAGTAAACCTGTTTGTCGTGATTGTAAAGTTCCCGATATTGCAGGGTTTAAACTTAACTGAAATTACCACGAGCCATGTGGGCTCCTGACATTTCAAATTTAGGAGCCCACTGCTAAATTTGTTAGCCAACAGTCTCTGTGATTTTTTTTAAAAAGCATAGATACTGGGACAAATGAAATACATATATAAATTTATCTGTTTAAAATTGGAGTTCTTACTTTATAAAAATCAGATGTCATATAAATATTTAATCAAAGGATATAAAATTGTATTCAATAAATATTTTAACTATTTTTTTTTTTACTTGATAATACATGTATATAAATACGTAGCCCTGGTACATGTCTTCATCTGATAAATTGACAATGACACAATAAGATTTTCTAGGTAAATTTTTCAACTACAACATATCTGAAATAGGTGAAAACACATAGTATTCATATGACTGAGTAGTTGGGAGATATTAAAATTGTATATCTCTCACGTATCAACCATTTACAGACGGTTGGAGGAAATTCGGATTAGGAAAAAAAGACGATCGTTTTAGGGAATTTCACAAATCGTGTAATACTTTAAATGGAAAAGATGAAGAATATTTACGAACAATAGGACCATACTGCTGTGATTTATTTCATTTTTCTGTAGTTTTAAATCAAAAACCTGCATAAAATGTCTGTTTTTTCAGTAAGGGGACTGGGAATGAATTCGGTCCCCTGCAGAATTTTTATTCGCCACGTGGGCGAACAACTTACAAATTTTATGAGCACACACCAATTTTTACTCGCAATTTGCGAGTGGGCGAGCGTTAAGTTTAAACCCTGTATTGTGTGCCTGTGTTAATCAGCAAAACCACTCAAAGTACACTGTCACCATGCATAACCATTGCAAACTAAATTTTTAGAAAGGTATACATATACATTGTAAGTGTATTTGCATTAAAGGTAAGACCACTTTAGTCCTATTTTGAGGTCTGAAAGTTAGGTTCTTGACTGTTAGTTTTAATCATTGGTAGATGGGATATTGCTAATTTTTATCATACAGACCCTACTTGTTAAACATCAATGACCAGAATGAACACAATTTAAATATGTATTATAATTTCGGATCAAACAATATACACATGCAATTACAGCAAGGCTTTCAATACTTTCAGTACTTTGATTATGATTGATGAATTGGGCGAGTAAGATGCATTGTAAAATTAACATACTTAATTTCTGTATTTTTAAGAAAGTTCCACTCCTTACCGTTATACGTGTGTGATGTTGGCTAGCCGCTATAAAAAAAACTCCCTCATTTACATTTTATCCATCAAATGTCCGCTGCCCCAGACAGCCTTTTGCAAAATAAACCTTCATGGGACAATTCTACAGGTTATATATGTATTTGGCAGCAGGTTGACCAATATCCATAAATGTAAAAATAAACTTCACATGCAATGTTCTTCTTGAGAGGTGGGTGATAGTAATGTTTAGTCAGTAAATACAACGTATTTGATTGTAGTATGGAGGTATATTTTGCTCTGGGGAAAAGAAATCTTGGTAAAGTCTTGCATTTTGTGTAGGAACAGCTGATAGCTTTCAAGGAATGGATGAAAATTCAAGTTTTGTCTATTTTTTACTGTGCGACTTCTTCATCAAAATTTCTAACCCCAAGTCCGTAATCTGAGAAAAGACTAATTTAAGTCATAATTTTAAATAAAGATAACTCGAGTTTCATTGGAGGTTGGTCACGTGATAAAATGCCCGAATTGCGTTATGTTTATATATAGTAAATTTGATCACGTGCCAACGTTATTCCATATCTCGTTGAAACTCTAAAAAAAAAAGAGAGAGAGACCCATGGGCCACATCGTTCACCTGATCAATGTGGCTAGGAAATAAGCGGAAATCAGTTCAGTATTGAAAAGCCTAAATGCATAAATTTAGTGGTCGAACCTATCCTTTATAAAGGGGGGGTATTATTCGAACAAGTTGCATCTACGCTAAGTATGCTTGCATATTTCTTTGACTAACTGTGGCTTTTTTACCCTTTTAAGTTTGAACTTAAATTGTGGTCTAGCCTGCCCCCCCCCCTCCCCGATCATGATTTGAACAAAGCTATCTATATACGCACACTAACTGAGGATGATTCTATAAAAATGTCTTTGTTTCCATATACATTTCTATGGCCGACCATTGTGCCCCATCTCTACACCTGGGGTGTCGTGATTTGAACAAACATAAATCTACACTATCTGAGGATGCTCAAAATATGATGAATATGGTCAATCGAGGGTTTTCTGGTTTTTTTTTTTTAGATTTTAAAAGATGTTTCTTATATATTTGTGTCTAAAACTTTGAGTGTCCCTTGTGGTCCTGTCCTGTCCCTGGGGGTCATGATTTAAACATTACCTGAGAATGCTTTCTTTACCCAAGGATACTCTGTACCATGTCTCATTGAAATCGATTAATTTTTCACTAATTTGTAATTATCTCCCATTGGAAGAGGATGTGTCCATTCACTTGAATAAATTTGAATCATCTTTACCCAGGGACACTCTGTACCAAGTTTGGTTGTAACCGACCCAGTATTTCTTGGGAAGGAAAAGTGAAAAATTTCGACAACAACGCCAACAATGACAGAAAACGAACAAATTTTGATCAAAAGAGCTGAGTGGAAAATATAGTGGAAGTATCTTTTTCATACAAGAAAAGCAAGGCCATAATAGAATAAATCTGCTGATGAAAACTCAGGTGAGCACTTTAGCCCATGTAGTAGGCATGTACCTCTTGTTTTCTCATATATATATATTCCTATGCAAAACTTTGATCCTGTATTATGGCCCCATGAAGGTTTGGGGTAAGTTTCATTTTTCTGGATCAATAGTTCTCGAGAACAGTATCATTAAGGACAGATGATACAAACATAAAAATGGATGCCTAGATTGGTATATATTTTTTGGCATGCAAATGATTCAAATGATAAATTTCTAGAATATAAAGAAATTGTAAACCTTCTGTGATGTTCAAAAGTCTGCCCTTCTGAAACCATCCTTATTAATCTATACAAATATTTTTCACTTCAAATTCCATTTTTGTGCAAATTTGAATGAAAAATTAAAAACTATGCGGTGAAGGTTATTCATTTTACTCATTTAAACATGACCCAAGTTGTTATGTTCAAATTCTTTGGCAAAAGTTTGTTTGTATCATCTGTCCTTAAAAGTTACCAAAAAGTATTCAGTTTTTCTTAATTATCTACCCTTGAAACGGGTAATGTTTTTTCGTGTGAAAAAAATAATCCTCTTCGCCAAGATGCTTTGTTGCAAATTTAGTTGAACTTGTCCCAGTAGTTCTGGGAAAGAAGGTGAAAATGTGATAAGAAAAGCTCACTTGCTTTTTCAGCTCAGGTGAGCTAAAATATTACATTCATTTAAGGTATTTCCATCCTCCTATGATGTCATAGGTTTTTGCAAAACTGTTATTATCGGTAATTTAAATTCATACCCAAAAGAACAAAGTTTTTAAAAAAAAAAAAAAAAAAAAAAAAAAATGATTTTCAATAAGTGTAATGATAAATATTGTTAAATATTAGAACTTTAAAAATGTATATTTTCATTATTAAATCAATTATTCTATCTTTTAAAAATTGTGACAAGGACAATAACTCCTTCTCAGATATCTTCATTCAGACATTTCTTTTTTGTACTTTTAATGTAAAATAGATTCCCTAATATTCACATTTCCAAATTATCTTATATGTAGCAAGTATTTTGGTACTCTAAGCATCAGAATTATGCATTTGAACCAGTTTTTACATAATATATACAATATTGTTTTCCAAAAAATTAAGATTTTTTAATGTTGAAATACACTCCTGATTATTTATGTCTCCCAACTCAAATAATATGGCGACCTATATATTTTTTGCAAAAATTGGTAAAATTAAACTATAATACATGAAAATAAATGCAGTTTTTGTTCTTTGAACCATTAAAATTGTAAGGGTGGAAAAACCTTAATTTTAAATGTCATAATTAAGAATCAGTCATTCAAAATTATCACAGTTTATTTTCTATTTTAATTTTTCAGACATAAAAACAAAGACATCTGTACATTGACATAAAACTCTTCCTGAAGTACTATCTCCATAAATCTGACATTCTCTATATTTGACTTATTATATATTTTCTTCCATTTAAATGTCTGGTGAATGGAGTTCTCATTCAACATGAATTCACAGCAACTCTCCTATCATGACAGGAAAAAGCTTTAGTATCCACTGTTCCACATGATTTAATGTAACACTTGTCAAAATTCCTGGAGTTCAATAGGTCAACTGCATTACTTTGCTATGCACCACCAGAGGGCATGATCTGCTGTCCTGGATATTTAATTTCCTGATCTTTTGATGAAAAGAAAGTGTATGATAACACAATGTCATCAACATTAGCCATCCGCGGATCATCCAGCAACTCAGGGTCAAGGTAGAAAAACACAGGCATCTCCACCTGAAAGTTTAAAGTATATCAATAATATGTTTAAAAAAAAAATGAATTCAAAAATGAAAAAGGTGTTGGATTTATGAAGAATAACTGTCTTTAAAAATATTGATTGTAGTAAATTATACAAGGATGTTTTTTATTCATCCATCTTTGCTTTTCTTTTTATTTAATGTATATAATGTATTCTAAAGAGTTAAACACACAGCATAGAGTTTTAAAGTTTATCAAAATGCAATACAATGCAATGAAATTTTATCTTGTACAGTTGAACTGGATCTTTTTTGTGAAAACTTAAATACCTTTTCATAGTTCACACTAAGATGTACTATCATGATTAAGATATAAAATTTGTTCAGAATCAGTAAAGTGTTTTCAAATTTTCAAATGTTCTGTGACAGATAATGGGGACACATTGAAATACTGTATACAGGGTTATTTTCGCCTCTCAAACTTGCAGACAATTTTACCCCACTTTAAATTCACCCAGTCACGGTTTTATTTAAGAAATTATACTGTATTCTTTGAATTGGCCAAAGGAGGGGTAGGGCGAAAAGGACAAAAATAAAACGGGGTGAAAATTTCCCTGTATACAGAAGTTTGTTCTGTGACAGACGATGGGAACATGTTGAAATAGTTTGATGTAAAAATTGGAGTGAAGCAAGGTTGTTGCGTATCTGGATTTTTATTCCTGATAAAAATGGACCGATAAGTTCAGAGAAAAATGAAGAGATCAGCATACAATAGGACTTTAACAACAAATTGAAAAATTATTTTGATTTTACAGATGATGCAATTAATACAACTTAAAATAACAAATATGATAAAAGAAGCAGAGAGAATAAGGCTCTAGTACAATGTCAGGAAATCAAAAGGTTAGAATAAATGCCAGAAACATACAGAATGCCAGAATACATTAATACTAGAAGGAGGGGGAATGCAAGAAATCACAGATTTTCTTGGGGTTTAATTTTCATTGTTTTCGAGGTATTAAGAGACCCACGAATTTATGTCCACCAGAAAATATGAAATTTTACCTACATAACTACTTAACAATTCTTCATCCACAAATTCAAATGCCAACAAACCAAGAATTCTATACAAACCACAAAAATTTGACCCCTTGAAAATATGTGATTTTACAGTACTTTAAAAATGAACACCTTGCAAGAATCAAAGAATTATTTGGGAATCAAAATCTGGGAAAATGAACAAGACAAAGAAGAAAATAATCTTTGGCTAATAGACAGACACCATAATAAATGCTTAAGAAGGATAATGATGAAAAAATGTAAGATATTACAAGAAGTGAAGGCCTATTACAGAGAACAAGGAAGGGATCAATCATTGAGGAAGTAAGAAGAAGGTAGAAAAAATCCTCCCAATAACTGTATTAAACATAGCAATAACGTGGGCACTTAAAAGAAGAAGAAAGCCTGGGTGACACAAAAACAATAGGCACCGCACAGTAGAAAGGAAAAGTGCTGGATTGCAATCATGGAATGCCAGTAGCCAATAGAAATTTGATACTTGTTAAGGCAGTGTATGCCACCAGGCACAAGGGACATATAAGTAACAGGCTGCCTAATAAAAGTCCCCACCAAAACAGCTTTGCTTGATCTCATCTTTATTTGATACAGAGGTGGTTATAAAGTACTATAAAGTATCTATATGTCGACATTAGAGCAGAACAATCACATTGACCTGAAAGCTTAGGAAGACCAGGTGAAATTGTGATAATATGACAAACTTTCATAAATCTTGGGAATGTCCATGTTTCTTTATTTGAGCACAATATTTCTGATAAACCTATAAACTGAAACTTGTGGAAACTATGGAAGAGAAACATATTTTTGTTTAAGGTTGATAATTAATTGAAAATTTTCCTTTAGAATGAACTTTTTAAAATTAGCTCATTCTAAAGGAGAACGCCAGCAAAATGAAGAGAAACAAATTGAATCCTGTGTCATAAGATCAACACATGGTTAACCATATAGCTATGATCTTAATAAAATGCTCCACAAGAAGAATTAATGCTGCTGATATAAGCAATGTTTCAGACAGGGAAGATTTATGGTGTCATCAACTCCTTCCAAATTGTCCACCTCTGAACAATCAAACACCCCCACCATGTTCTGACTTTGCTTGTCACTGGACTTGTATGAGAGGACATTTTTATTAACACTGAATCTTCAATTTGATTATTCTACTTCTATTGCTGCATAGTAGATTTTGTTCGTAAATATAAAATATATAAGATTTTCTCATTTTTATTAAGAGAATTTGATCTTTAGCATTTTCCATTTTCTAAATTAAGTTTTTTAAATATCTTTTTCATATTCAGAAGTTATTGCAAGGGTATTTTGAAGTACAAGATTTGCTTTTAAAATAATTGAACCAATATAATTATAAGTAATATTTAAATTACTAATTATAAAAAGTATATGTACATAATTCATTTATAACTATTATTAATGACATTTATGCAAAATAATTCAACTGACTAATGCAAATTATTATAAATTGAAGGATATATTATAATTTGCAAACAATTATAATAATCATATTCAAGTATAGCAGCTGTAGACATCTATTTATTGAAGTTATCAAAACAAGTGTATCAATCGAACACGTGTTTATCTACTGCATAGGAAAAGTGTCGGTCTGATTGGATTTATAGAATACCTGTTCTACAGGTATTCTGTTACACAGGTATTCTGTTAAAGCATGCACGCTTTAGCGTGTGTAAGATTTAAATGCTATTCGAAGGCTCTTTCTCAGCGCAGTCAGACGTTTCCCTGCCCACCCACCCTCACAAGTATCATGTTTGTTTTTATCAATTATATGCTTTTGTTTCGTAAATTGGATGAGTTGTCAAGATGGAAAGATGGAAATGTATATTTTGTATTAGTCCAAAAAATAACATGTAAAATATAAAAATTGTAAAAAAGCCATTAAAACGTCAGATTTTTTGGACTAATTTTGTATATAATATTAAACTGCATGCACTTACAAGAGCACTTCTGTACCAACCTATATATGTGTTGTTATTTATCTTATAAATAATTTATGTTCGTTTGAGTGGAAACGATTATGTTATGGTGTTTCATACAGGAATAATATGAATGACAAGGTACAAAGTTAGATAACTGGTATTTGACTCGGTTTATTGCAAACATAAACAGGTGGATATTTGGTTTGTCTATTTAATTATTGACAACTTAAATCTTCATCATGATTTTTTCTTTAGCCTTAGCTGACATAAAAACCTCATACATTTATTCAGATGGTAACTAATTTAAGCTAAAGGGCATACCCGGTATCATATTGACTATAAGAACCACTCCATAGACCACTTGGACAAGGAATGGGGGGGGGGGGGGCACTCCAACTCAATGCTAATATGTTCAGGCATAATTGACAGCAAATATGTTAAAGTGCTACCTTTTTTTTGTGTTCTCCATAAGCTGTAATATGGTACTTTATAAATAAAAAATTAGTCCTCCTTTTATTCTAGCTCCCTTAAACCTCATTGCAGGTGGAAGAATAATTTGAAGCAGGAAGATTTCAATGAAGGCAGAGTTATTTCTAAAACATCTATGTGATTGGGCAAATTTTAAAAGATATAATTATTTAAGGTACAATAAATGGTATTTGAAACTTTAAAATGGGCAAAGATAACCCTGTATATGACCAGTATTCATTAGTTTTGTTGCTTGTCAAATTACATAACAATTTACTGAACCATGATTGGAATTGTCTAACAAATACATCTTATTTCACCTGTTGTGTATGAACCATCTATAGATGGTTACATCTATTTACCTATACAGCTGTAACATCTGTCAGAAAGTAATTTGTGAGAAGTAGACTCAAAGAACATGGCCAGATGAATGTTTTTGTTTGCCTATCATAACAAGTGAGTACACTTCATACACCTGTTCCTCATCAGGAAGTGATACATACAATGTTTATTCCAAGTTATTACTTATTGGCCCAGTCAACATTTTGTGATCTATACAACCAAGTAATCTGACTATCAAACAAAAAAATATATGGGAAAAAAATCATCTTGACCTAATTTTCATATCAGGACACTCTTAAATGTGCTTAAGCTTTCAAAAGAAGAAAAAACAGCGGAAAAACATCCTTAACCTTCCTCTGTTAAGTTTTTAATGATAGTCACTCAAATTTCTCATCCAAAAATAATTCATTTGAAGATCAGATTGATTTAATTAGAATGATTACATTCCACTTAATCATGTGAAATAAATTCTGTCCATAAGGCTTGTGATGCCACAGACAAAGGCTTTGGTACATTAAGCAGCTGTTTGTTACAGTCAATAGCTTACCTCCATTACATTTCCTTGTAGCTTTATTAATGTGTTCTGGGTCTTTTATCACAACAAATTAAAGTTTGATATCTATAACTAAGATCTATAAAAATGCAGCAACTGAGGCTGATTTTTTTTTTTTAAACATCACCTATAAAGGTTATTCATATAACATTTGAAAGACTATGGGGCTTATGGGTAGAAATACATATTTGTTTGCAAAGCATTGCACAAATATGCTTGACATAATAAAATTTTAATCACCAAGATTATGAGTGTCTTTCACTATCTAACAAAGAACATAGGTAATCAGAGATTACAGAGCTCACCTCAACGAATGTTGTCTTTAAGTAAGGCAAAGTCACACAATTAACCAACAAAAAGTATACATTCCAAAAATGAAAATATTTTTAAAAGCAATTTTGATCTGATACTTTGAAATAGACCTACATAAAAAATTTAAACTACTACTTCTTCAATGTAATGAAAATCCAGCATCTGAAGCAAATTTGAGAGTTTTCATCTCTTGATGCAGCATTTGTGCAAGTTTGGTTTATACAATGTTATATAAGCCTTATAGTTTTTGGTAATAGACCTGCAACCATAACTTTTACCTTGTCTATTATCTGAAAAATGTATGTCCAATTCAGCATCCGAAGCAAGTCCATTAGTGTG